GCACGTTCTGTGTAGGAAGATTTTCTTTAATTATTTCTTTCTAATTCATATGTACTATGTTTTTTTGTTTTTTTGCCGAACACAAGTACCGTTTTTTTTTTTATCTTGAATAAGTACAATTTTTAGAGAAAACGAAAAGATTTAAATTCAGTTTATGAGGTTAAAATATGTATTTTTAATTAAATGGTTTATAAGGTTAAGTGTGAACATATGTATTGTATTTTTTTTAATAAATTATAATTATTTATATGTGTTAATTAAAAAATAAAAAAAATTAATTTTATAAGACTCAAACATATAATTTACGAGAAGGGAATGATTTTAATTCAAAGTCTATATCATTGGATCAAAACAAATCATTCGAATATATGTACTGTGTTTAAAAAGTTTGATTTGTATTATATACATTTTATATTGCCATTTTAGATATTTATACATAAAAAAGCATGTAACATGCCGTTCTTTGTCCATACATGGCACGACATGTGCTCCATCATTTTCATTGTGCAATTTGTTTTACGTAAATAGTCTAATCACATTTTTTTTTAAAATGACGAAATTTCTCTGCCACATGTTTTCTTTTTTTTTGGCATAAAAATTGTTTAAATATATAAACATATTTAATTGCCATTTGGAATGTACCATGCAACAAGATATGACTGTCTTGTCTTCTTGACGTAAAACACATCACTTTAGTTTCATCATTCAAAGATTAATTTATCAAAAGGGGATGTCATAGAAAACTCATTTCATAGGCCAAGAATTTATTGAAAAATAGTACATAATATAAACCTTATCATAAATAGTGGACCGGTGAAGTCATTATGCATTTGGGGCCTTTTACACGCACGATGCTAACTTTGATCGACTTGATAAAATTGAATCCAATTTAAAATTTTGACTTAATTTATTTGTTATGAATAGGGTTATAAGTTTTATGTGTTAATTTAAAATTTAAAATTATTCAAATTCAAATGAGTTGAGTAATGAGTGAATTAGGTTACTTGAAATGACTCGAATTTTTTTAATTTATTTTTTTATTAAGTTACTTAAAAATTAATTTTTAATTTTTAATTTTTTAATTTTAAAAATAAAAACAAATAAAATATTCAAACTCTAATCTCTTATTAATTTCACTTTCCTTCAACTTTTTCTTTTCTCCACTTTCGCTCTCCCGTTCTTCATCTCAAGCTCTTTAATTCTTTTCTTTGGTGACATTCGTGTAAAAAATTAGATTAGGTAGCTTATAGTGAGTTATGTTATATGATATCGTTAAAAAAATTATTTTTTAAAAATAAAAAGCAAGAATGCCTATTGAAAATCAATACTTGGTGATTAATGTACCCTCATAACTATTAAAAGTACAAAAACAAAAAATCAAGAACATCAAAGTCCGTTTTTAATTGTTAATTTGTTCTTAATTGCTAATTTGTTCTTAATTAATAAAAATCAATTATAATCCAATTTCTTTTTGTATTTGATTGGACATATTTTGGATTTACCTTTTAAACTTTAATATTAAATAAGGTTATATTTTTTGTATAATACCATACTAAATATTGAATAGAGTTGTATTTTTTGTATAATACTCTTATAAATATTGAATAGGTACTAGATATTAATAGATATTGGATTTGTCTTTTAAACTCTAATCTTCATGTTTTTTCTTTTAACGAAGGTTAATACCTTTATGAAATTATGAATTCTAAATATTGTATAAGTATTATATATTTGACATATATTTTAGTTCTACCTATATAATTACTAATCTTTTCGTTTTCTTTTCTTAACATTGGACAAAAATTGAATTATGAAATGGAAATTAACGTTTAATAAGTTTTCTAATTAAATAGTTAATTAGTAATAAAGTTTTTTAACTAAATAGCTAATTAGTATTAGATTTTGTTAAA